TCTGGAGAATGGGGCTGTTCTATGCGTTGTCTTCTTAGTTCAGAGGCCCCCGGCCCCAAATGTCCTGAATCCGTCCCTGTTCTGGTGTATTAGTGTAGAGCTCTGCTTCCACTAAGTTCACCGTTAGTTTTATCAGTTTAACTTTGACTTAAATCCCCAATGACAGTTTTACAGAAGCAAAAACTTTCAGGCAGTTTTTCATCACTGCCTGATTAGAGGGAAACATGTTGTAACATCCGTTCTGCGACCGTCTCCGCTCTCCTGTCCTCCATGTTTATCATGCAGAAACTTCCTCAGGTTGGTTCCTAACTGTAGAACCTTCATCACTGGGTTAATGTTGCTGTTTCCCTTCAGCTGATTCGGCCTGATTGTCTCTAATTGCTGTTTAGTTTTTCATCTGACGCTCTGAGGTCGTCTTTGGGACAAAGCAGCATCTTCACCTTTTATTTACCTCCTGTCCAGGAGCCCTGCTGCATCTCTGCGGTCGGGTTCATGTCTCCTGCCAATCAGATCAGGCTTGTGTGGGTTTTGGTTTTAGAAATGCTGATTAACATAAAGCTTCTGCAGAAACATATGGAGTGAATTCTGCTCCATTATTGTTGCAAACGAAGAACTATTGTAAACTGAAATGTGAAAAATATGATGTAATCAAAGGGTTTTGAGAGAAATGCTGTTTTCTTACATTTAGTTTTTCTATTTTTTTCACAGCTTACATTCTTTTAAATTCCATTTTCTTTAACAGAGCATTTTTTAAACAGGTGCTATATTTTTTAAATTCTCTTCTCATTTAGCATGTTGTGCATTGCAAACTTTAACGATCAGGTTTCATAGATCATTGCAGCTCAATGCAAACGGCTCGGTGACCAATAAGCATGTTGCTGCTAACGTCCAGCAGACCAATAGAAACGCGTCAATCCAGAGGAAAGCCCGCCCCCATAACGTCATCAAATAAACACAATTTGAAAAGAGAAATTAGAGAAATAAAAACAGAAAATATAAAATCTATTAAGAAATATAATAAATAAATATGGAAAAACAACTTTGAAAATAAAAAGGAAAAATTGCATTTCAGAATTTAGGAATCTTTCTACCAAACCTCTTTTTTTTTTATTCACTTTTTCTTTTAGTTTCATTCATGGATTCCTTCTTTTTGATTCCTTCAAACAGAACATCAAACTTGATTTCTTTTTTAAAATATGTATAATATTAATATCTAAACCAATATTGGTCATTTTAGGTTTATTGGTGTCGGTTGGAGAAGTTAAACTGGTTTGTGTAGTTGGAAAAAAGTATTCAACCATTCACCCCAGTTAAATAAACGGAGATTTTATTTTTGTATCTTTGCAAAGAGAGAACATCTGATGATGCGGCTCTTATGGAGCAGCAATCAGTAATCAGTAATCAGCGCTGTTCTGATCTGGGCGGAGCTTCTCTGCTTATAATGAGGAAAAAGTGAGGAAGGTTGTTTCAGAGTAAAAACACATTTTACTCACAATTAACAATTCTTTGGCTCGTTAAGGATTAATTAATCCTTGGATGCAAAACACTTCCCACTCTGACATTTTGTGGCCTTGCAGATGAAACAGACTGAAAAAAAAAACATTTTTCATTGGATAAATAAAACTAAATATATGAAACAAGAGAAATCTAAATATTCAGACCACATTTGATATGAATCATCAATGTTTATTTATGCATAGTTGCTATTCTTGTTTCAGGAGGGGGGGGGGGTCATGTGGTGTAACTTTGGTCATGAGGATGATGATGATGATGATGATGATGCTGCAGCTCAGGGTTGTGTAACTGAAAGCAGAGAAGCAATGTCAGCGCTGTGGTCGGTGTCTGATGGTGGAAATGTATGAGATCAGTTATTATTATATCAGTCTGATTCAAAGCATCAGACAGAAGGACTCTGCCGTCTTCACCTCTAATGGTAGGTATGGTGATGGCAGCATCAGGCTGTGGGATGTGGAAGCTGGTCAGAGTTAATGGGATGGAGCTAAATCCAGGAGAATCTTCTGAGATGGAGGTTCACCCTCCAGCAGCAGAACCACCCTGAACATCCAGC